TTTTTTTTTTTTTTTTTTTACCATTATTATTACTCTTGCTCTGAGCAAAGCTAGGCCCACACACCGGCTAATGGAGCTGAGCCTCGCCTTTTATTTGGGGTTCCAAGCATTAGGAGCTTTTGTTGTGGGTCCCTTTAAAAAGGGGTTACAGGGCTCTATAGGGCTACATAGGGTTATGTTGGGATTGCTGGGGTTTAGGGTTTCTCACAATTAGGGCACCATCCGGGGAGTCCCTATAGTAAGGATCCTAATATACATATATATATATGTGAATATTAGAGCTCCTCAATGTATGGAAACAACCATATAATGAAAAGTTGGGCATGTTTGCTTCAACACGCTCTCCGGGCTTCACAGGGTTCACGTGGGCATGCTGTGTTCCACCAGGGTTTCGACAGGGCTGAACGAAGAAAAAATCTAGCAAAGCCTTGACTTGAATCTCCTGGGTTCAATGCAGACTTGGGTCTTCAGGGTTGAGGCTTCAGGGTGAAGGGCCTCCGGATTTGGGCTTTATGAGGGCTAATTAGGTATTTTAGGTAGAGTTCACCGTCGTTTTGGGGTCGCAGAGAGGTACGCGCACATACAGTTCATGGGATCAGGGCATTGGAGGTTTGGGAGGTTGGCTTGGCTCCAGGTATGGATTCGGAGGTACAGTTGAACAATAATGCATTTACCACTCCATAATGTACTGCGTGCGTCATCTACCCAAGTTGAGAAGCAATCCTTCCAGAGAAGTAGAACATTGGGCATGCAGGTAATGCTTGGCGAGCCTCCCAGAGCTCCACTTCAACCAATATGTTGGCAGTGATCTCTAGGCTCTGAGCCCACTATTCTTGAATCATCAGGGCACTGCGCTGAAGCTCTAACATGCATGCCCCAGAGCCTGCCAGCTGCCGATGAGAGTTCCTAATGAAATGCTCCTGTTACTTGATGGAAGTTGCGAGCTCCGAAGCCCGAACGTATCAATGTCTTCTCCTAGTGGTCCAGATCGGGTGTTCTCGCTCAAGATAGCCCTGTAGCGGGAAGTCAGCTTGAAACATTGAGCGTAGCTCAGGCACCTGCTAGCAATGATGAATCATAAGCCCTACACTGCAGATGCTAAATCCTAAGCCCCAAACTACAAGCCATTTCGAACCTTCCAGGATTTCGGAGGCCGGGGCGAGTCCATCATCTGGAGCTTGTGCGGGTGTAAGCCAGGGTAAGCCCTTCCTTGCCCTTAAAAGGGACATGGGTGTTTCCAGAAAGTAGCGGTCCTTGTTATGGGAGTTCCGCAAATGAAAGTCATGGACGTGGTATTTGGGCCTTGCAAGAGTGCCCCCCGCATCTTCTGCAAAACTGAACGTGGGGTTTTTGAGCCCTGCTTAAGTGGCTGGACTTCCCAGGACTTGTTATAGCCAGAAGCTTATTTTTACTTCGAGGGTGGTTGAAGAGGAGCTGCTATTGCCTGCATAGACTGCTTTGCATTAAGCATTCCAGTGAGGTTGGTGGTAAGTAACCTGCAGCAGCGGCCCTTCCGGGACATAAGGTCAGACTGCTTAGCACGGGCTCCAAGCAGAGATAAATGATGTGTGGGGGTATCTGGCATCCTGACTAGACAGCCGGTTCGTGGAGACATGGGCCTAGATCCTGACCTGCTGATTTTCAATAAAAACTTTAAACGCTAGAATGATGGGCAGCTTGGCTTTCCAGATCAAGTGTGAAATCGAATTCCTCAAGCCCAACGCTTGCGGTGAACGCGAGACCCGCTCGTGAGACCCTAAGCGCCCAAGGCAGGGAGCCAGAGTTCTTAAGCCCAATGTAGGTGCCTGACTGAATGCATGAGTAGAAAAGGGGTTTTGAGGTTTCCCATGCTATTTCCATGCTATTTGTACTTCTACACCCCAAAGCCAAAACTCCGCGAAGTTTGAAGCCCTAAGCCTTAAGCTACAAATCCTAAACCCCCAGGCCTACGCCTTATCCCCCGAAACCCCACGTAAACCCTAAATGCCCTAAACCCCCCAAACCCCTAAACCACCAAACCCCCAAACCTGCAGGCCGGGCGCTTCCCAAAGCGAGTGCTCCGAAAGAGCAGCGGCTCGGAAATGGGCTCGTCAGACAAGGCCCGGGACGATGGGAGGTTTCTCCAGAATTTTCGCATGGAATTCTTAATGGGTTTAGGGTGTAGGGTTCTTAGTATGGATCCTATCGCCCTTAAAATTGTCCTTCGTAGTTCCCATGTAGCAGGAACCCCCATGTTGATTGCAGGAGATTGAGATGGAGTGGATAATCGAAACACGCCAGTGAAGCGCGCATGCGCCCCCTAAAAGAGAAGGGGCCATCTGAACAGGAACCGTAGGGGATTTTCTTGGTGATTTCTTGCTGTAGTAACTACATAGGGGAAGGATTTCACATGTCATGCTGGAATCCCTCGTATGCAAGTATTTGTGATGCCTGTTTATACCTGAATAACACTTCGAGCATACCGTATATATACCATTCTACGCCCTCAAAGACGGTGAGCATTCTCGAGATCGAGGCAGCCTTTTTTGAGGGCCGTGTTCAGAAAGCTGCATCGATTGCTGAAAGGTGCACGTCTGTTTCCAAGAGGCCGTGGGCCTTAGTGGTTGCAAGTGCAGCTAGAGAATGAGTGAATGCCTTCTGAGGCTACCAAGTATATAGTCCACCTGAAGTAGATAGAATATGGCTTGGGGGTATATTATAGTAAGATCCCCATATACCCCATATTCTACCTATTAAGCCGCCCTAAACCCTAGACCTTATAGAGCCCACTATAGTAGTTTCCCTTCTCTTTTCCATTATCCCTATATAACGCCAACAATATACCCCATATCCTATCTACTTCAGGAGGCTATAGCCCTAAACCCTAAACCCCAAACCCTAAACCCTAAATTATAACAAGATCCCCCATATACCTCATTTTCTATCTACTTAACTGGGACTATAGGTGTTAGCTAGCAAGTACCTTCAGGCAACTTGAAGCCATGAAGCGCTCCGTTCCTCCCAGAAGTTGTGTGGCTCATGCCTAGCTGTAGGTGGGTAGATAAGTAGCTCAACTTCATGGGTTATGATTGTTTGTCAGTTAGTGTGCGTACATAACTTCAGGTGCTTGTAGTCACCGCCCAAACCCAACCCTCTCCCCTAAAACTTCAACCTTTGGCCTGCAGGCTCCAAGCTCTGCAAGGACAACGCGGAGCCCTGAGAATTTAGTCAGGGTTTTGCGATGTCAGGTTGCACAGTGTGTAGGATCTTGGGTTGTACGGTCCTAGGGCTACTGGTTTTGAGTGTGCTTCCGTTACCAGTTCTTTTTCAGCGCAGAGTCTGGCAGGGATTATAAAGGAGAACAAGTGACACAATAAGTTTGGAATCTCCTTGAAGAAAAGCTATTGTGTTCACGTAGGACAACGGCTGCACGTGGTAAGATTTCAGCTTAGGCTTAGTAGGGTTCCAAAGAGAGCAGCAAGAGCTTCAACAGGAACTCTGAACCCTAAACCCTAAACCCTAAACCCTAAACCCTAAACACCAAGCACTAAAGCCTAAAGCTTAGGCTTCCAGCCATGCAGGGCTTCAAAGTCTGGACATGGTTTAGGGTTTTTGGGTTTGTTGTTTTGGGGCGTAGGTTTGAGGGGAATATTGCGTAGTATAGTTATAAGCTTGTTTAGGTATATTTGAGTTATAGCAGGTTATAGGGGTGTATAGCAACCCCTGCTCAGGGACGGTAATCAAGATTTGTTGGCCTTACTATCTGCTAAGTACATCCAAAACCTTAATCCTTCCTAGACTGCGCT